GTGGACCCAGATCCAAACAAAATATACACGCGAAGAAAGCAACAACACGCTCAGATGTCATTGATAAAGCAGCAAGATGATCGTCGGCAAGTACCGATAAAATACCCGGAACAAGCATGGGGCTCGTCATTAGAGAAAAAGCCATTATTAACGAAGGCTGAGATGGATGAGCACGTAAAGAAATCTGGGAAAAACATCTCCAACAAACAAAATACCAGTGTTCCAACTAGCTTCAGAAAAGCTCACACCTTTTTGAATGATGAATATCTTCATGAAATCCAAACTGCAAATGACCAGCGATGCTTTTACTTTAAAGGAAAATGCTCTCACAGCTTTAAAAAAAATGACCCTCCTCACGACTTAAAGCTGGCACTTTGTATTATAACTGGTGTAGTTTTACATGCCACATGTAGTTGTGTAGATGGAACTGTGGGGTATTGCAATCACATATTAGCACTTATGCTAAAAATATGCAAGTACTACCTCCATGAATGCACATCAACAAATGACCTTAGTGGGGATAAAGATGAGACACCAGCTCAAGCCTGCACATCAGAGCTCCAAAAATGGCACATGAAAGGTGGTGGGAAGAACATTACACCCCAGCCAATATCAAATGTTACAGTGACAAAGATAAAAGGGGGGTGTTCAACAGAAAACAAAGCTACTCCTGGAATCAAGTCACTCTTATATGAGGCAAGAGTTGATACATCGTATAAACAAGACAAAATCGACAAGCTTATGGAAGACTGGTCCCCCAGGCATGCCAAGGCAAAATACAGGGAAAAAAGCATTAACAGAAAAAAAATTATTTCAGTAGGGACACTTATCAATACCATGAAGTTCATATACCAATTTGAAGCTTAAGATGTCAGGTTCAGTTTGCAGCAGATATATTGGTACAATACACATGTTACCATGGTTACCAAGACAAATGTTTCAAAAATATCAGAGTTTAATAATTTAACCAATATTATTCCCCAAAAATTGGAGACTTTTAATTTGCTGTTTTTAACAGGTAAAGTGAAATAACTTAATCTTTATCTCAATATAAATAGGTATAACTAGCAAAAAGTTGTAATAAATAAGTACAAATTGAATTTTTTTTGTATTATTTAAGATTTAGCAAATGGCTAAAATTTCAAAAATTACATATACTTGTGATAAGAATATTCAAAAATGTACTTTACAATAGCTATTCTTTCATAAATGTTACATTTTTCTATTCCTCAGATTTAGAGAGTTGATAGAAAGTCAAATGCATATCGGCACAAGCATGTTGCTATGGAAACAACCTGACAAAGTATCAAAAATATTATAAAAGCGAACATTTAAGAGCTGATAAATATCAATAAATTCATCACCTGAGCCATAAAACAAAGCAAAGAAAGGCATAATATTAGTATTTTCAATTCTCTATGCCTTTCTTTTCTTTGTTTTATGATCTAGCTGATCAAAGCATGCCAAGTGGACACCAACACCACAGCTCTGACACTCAGTGCGGCTTCTCTTTCTTCCTCCTCTCACATCTCTTCTCGAGCAAACCACACAGTCCTTCTCTTTTCGTCCTTCAAGCTTCCTGATCTGGTGGGTTGGGTTGGGTTGTTGGGTTGGAGCTAACACAGCGTAAAACTGATCGCGAAAYTCAACTATTGGGTCGAGGGCCTGGAAAAGAGGTTGCTGAATTGTGTGAAAAATGTATGGGAATTAGAGGCAATTAAACAAAAGATGGCAACATGGGAGGGGAAGGGAGCCGGAGGATRCGCATAAAACGTTTTATAGCGCAATATCATTTTTATTATTTAATAATTTTTTTACAATTTACGTGTTTTGAAATTACTATTATTAGTATTATAAGTAATATATACAATATGAGCGGGCGATCTGTATGAGGATTTAAAACAGCGAGCTGAAAGCGAGTGGTGATGAGGATGACTCTGATGAATTTGAAACATCTGTAAGCTGTATATTCAATATCCGGCGGGTAGACTGAATACAGCATGTGTATAATTCTATGCATCTCTATGTACTATTAAAATTTTATCTGCTTGTTGAGAACCTCATCAAGAAAGCTGATGACAAAACTGAGCTAGAAAAAAAATGATATCTTGAAAGATGAGCTGGTAAGATATCATTCATCTCAGTCATTCATACTATTGTGTCCCCGTGTTTCAGTTTGCTGTGATTTCAGTTTTTTTTTTTTTCAAAGGTCGTCCATGTAGACTTTAAACTGAGAAAGAAAAAAATATATGTATACTAGGGGAAATCTTGGAAAGTTACATACAGCGGAACATACCTAGTCTTGCCAAGCGCCGTTTAGATCGGCCCGCGTTATTACATCGCATTTGATTGGTTAAAAATCGTTTTCTTTTGTTTTTCTCGACCAATAAAAAAGCTTGACATATCGACACATTGTATTTAATGGGTGGCCTGTGTATTTACGGCAAAATCTTACTCGGATCGTTGGCTTTTTGTGGTAAGTTTGCGAGCGCTTCGCACGAATTTGTCAATAAAAATGGCGGATTTACGCACGGTTGTTGTTCTTCTTTTTATTTGAAAATAAACATGTTTTAAATGTCTGATCAAGAAGTTGATAGCGGAGCAGAAAGCAGCGATATTTACGAAGAAAGTTCTGGTTCTGATGACGAAGATTCTAGTTCTGAAAATGAAGATGTAGCCGATCAACCTGTACCGAAGATCTGGACGCGTATTTATCCTCCAGAAGATTTAGATTCTCTACCTTTTACTGCAAGGAATGTGGGCGCTCGAAATAATCCTCCACCTGAATCTCGTCCTATTACGTATTTATCTTTGTTCTTGACGCCTGAGGTGCTCAGATGTATTGTAAGTGAGACCAAAAAGTATGCTGATCAGCAAATAAATTCTACAATTTCTCAGGGCAAACCCTTATCCGTTCGCACGTTGAAATGGAGGCGTTTGAACTTTGATGTAGCTATGCTGAAGAAATTTCTGGGACTTGTAATAAATATGGGCCTTGTTGAGAAGAAAGATCTTGTAATGTACTGGGACACTAAGAATCCTAATACAGCTACTCCATTCTTCTCCTCTATCCTGTCTAGAAACACTTTCCAACTTATTTCAAGATATCTACACTGCAGTGATAACACTTCGAACTCAGCTCAACATAATTCTCCTAACTATGATCCTCTTCACAAGTTCCGTCTACTTGATTCTTTAAATTCTGGTTGCAAGAGATATTATGTTCCTGCCCAGTGTATATCTATTGATGAGAGCCTCATAGGAATGAAGAACAGAACCCAGTTGATACAGTACATCCCCAACAAACACCATCACAAGTGGGGGGTGAAGCTGTACTCAGTAACTAAGTCATCAACTGGGTTCCCCCTCCATACTATGGTTTATTGTGGGAAAAGGGGTGAAGGTCCTCCTTCTGATAAAGGGCATTCATTTGATGTGGTTGATAAGCTCATTAACATCTCTGGTCTGACTAACAAAGGCTACCATCTCTTTGTTGATAATTTTTATACAAGTGTAACACTTGCTGAACACTTGTATGATAAGGGTGTAATGTTGACGGGCACAATGAGATCAAACAGAAAGGGTATCCCTAAGATGATTAAACAGGCAAAGCCTAAAATACAAGAATGCATCTATGCTAAGAATGTTCATACTCTTGTGCTGAGCTGGAAGGAGAAGAAATCCCAGAAGAAACCATGCATCATGCTGTCAACAGGGCTCCCATCAGGAATGGTTGAGCATCCAGTCAGAGGTGGTGGCACCAAACCTAAGCCACCTGTGGTGTCGGAGTATAATAAGCATATGGGGGGTGTGGACACCCTAGATCAGAAGGTAGATTTTTATGCTGGGGAAAGAGCCTTTCATAAATATTGGAAGAAATGTTTTTTCGCTTTGATTGACCGCATGATTGTATGCTCGTACATCCTGTACCAGGCGAACACATCTGACAGACCCCCCCTGACCAGGTACAAGTTCATGTGTGGCATTGTAGAGGAACTGTGTGCCTACAACTCAATTGAGTGTGAAAATTCAGTCAAAATGTAGATAAAACTCAACTATATACACACAGATCTCTTGCATTTGCACAGGCTGTTGTGAATAAAAGAATTTATTATTTATTTATTTGAGCATGTTTTGAGGCTAACACAGCCTAGTAAAGGAGATCGCTAAAAGGGTTTATTCGTTTATTCATGTATGCGAGTGTCTTCCATCTAAAACGAGATTCAACGACAAGCGAGTCAATTCATAGCCTTCAACTTATACATGTACCATTCAAGACTTGCTCAGAAAATGAGTTTTCTGTCTTTAACAAGCAATATAAATTAAAAATATGTACTTGCCTTAACAGTCCAAAGGGTAAACTTTCTTTGAGATCTTTGAAAGAAGTCTTTCAACGAATGATTGACGTGATTAGATTTAAATGATCGCTAAATGACGTGATGGTCCTCCAAGATGAAGGAAGGACGGTCCAGACTCGGTGTAACTTTAAGGCTCAGTTTTCAAAAGTAATCTATAACCAATAGGCATTAAACATTATCTACGTCAAATTGCTTCAAAGACCTTCAAAATAACATTTTAAAAGCAACGCAACGTCATCTTTTGCGTATAAACAAGGTGGCCATTTCATTATGTATGCACGATACACTTGAGCTACCTTGGTCACAGCACTGTTTCGCAGCTCATTCTCGGTCGACATGTTTTACGTTCAGGAAAATATTCTTTTTCATTCTTCAAAATGTAATTGATTAGGTTCAAACGTCAAGTCTAGTATCGAATATGTGTTGAAAGTCTTATATAAGTTAAATTTCTGGAGTATATCTGCTTAAAATATGTTAAAAATCATACAGGGTGTCTGACTTGGAGAAGATAAAATGGCTACTGAAATGTGGTCAAAACCATGCTTTGTCGTTGGTTTATCTTAGGAAACAAAATGCTCTGGTGCCTGTTCTTATAGCCATGTAAATTGGATGCTATTTGTACTTTATGACAACATTTTGTTTTAATATAATAATAACTTTATTAACTCATCTTTTCTATAAAAATACGATAAATTTACAATTTAAAACGGATAAAGTATATAAAAACTATATAGATCTATATGAATATGATTACAGATTTATTTATGGTAAATGCGACAAGCTCTTGGAGTGAAAGATTTATTATGTCTCTCAGTTCTTGAAATCACTTTGGTGCTGACACATCTTCCTGATCGGGTGGAGTATCTCCGAGTTGATGGTACGGTGAAAAATGAGTGATTTGGATGGTCACTATCTTCTAGAATTCTCTCAAGTTCTCGCCTGGTTGCCTCATCCCTACGCTCTTCTAAAGTTGGTAGACTGGACTTCTGAACGCCAATAATCGAGAGACTGCGATTCTGAACACGCTGCAGATCTTCAGCGAGGTATTTGGGGATACCCCCAGACTGGGGATGCGTATTCTAAAAGTGTACGTACTTAAGTGCAGTAAACGGTGGTTCCAACTTCTTTAGGCAAGTTGGCAAGTTGGCCCAAGATTGTAGACTGTCAAGAACTCTTTGCATCGAAGATTCACCACCGCTAGTAACGCTTTCGAAAACAGTGCAATCATCAGCATATTTACATGCGTGGACACGTTCACGTAGATCTGGAGAGATAGCGTTCTCAAAATCCC